CTGAGACAGGTGTGTTCTTTGTCTCCAGTACTACTTTCAGTAAGGGAGATATGTATACACCCTAAATGTTGGAGGGGCAGTGCTGAATAGCAGAAAAAAGCAGTTCAAAGGAGAGTTAGGAAGGAGATGGGTTCTGATTTCGTTGACATAGGGCCATGTCATAAGTTTCTACAAACTTCGTCTTTTTTACAGGGAGGTTCTGGCACACCCGGACTTGTCTATCAGGAGGAGAAAACACCTACAACGTATAAATAGAAGGCTCAGAGAATGCTTAATTAGCACTTCAAGAAATTTGGTTTCTAATTGCAGAAGGATTAATGTGATTCACGAAAAGTAGGTCCAGCAGTTCTCTGCTCTATAGGGAAGGACACATCATCTGCATAATTATTAAAATTTATTTTAAACAATTAGACCACAACTGAAAAATTGGGAGAGAAGTATACCAAAATTGATGTAGAATGAACACTTTCTAAATTACTTTTACTTAAACTTTGGTATACTTAGTAAAGGTCAAAATATGCATGTTTACCAGAAATGTTCTGTTCATCAGAATAATCTGCTAAAATATATACACATAAATTGTGACAGTGTGTATTTTATATTGCCTGCTTTATGATTTATTTAAATAACAAATAAAGGAAAGTAACTTTTTGTGTGGCTTCCAAGCCTTGCACTAAGTATTCTCCACAATGTTTGGGGTCAGAATCCAAGCCAGCCTCCTTCAATGTGAGTGGAGAGATGCTCATCAGTTCCACTATGAATTGAACTCAACCTGAAAGGCGGCTTTGGCAACTGTCTCTAAATCAGTGGACATGGCTGTGTGTGCAGTGTGCGGCATTCTGTGGGAGTAGCATAGAAATACAGTGGCTATTAATATTTTTTTTAGCCAAATTAAAACTAGCAAAATTCAGAGAAAATAACAATAAGGTAACAGTGAGAAAGATCATGTGCCACATACTCTGGCTGTAATACGTAGTGAATCAAACTGGGACAAGTATAATTTTCATTGACTACAAAAAAAAAGATTAGGAGCATACGTTATCTGACTATAATTACAGCAGGCCATTGTTGACATTACGTAGCAATATTCTATCAAAGCATGTAAATAGGGCCTGTCTGTTGCACCCATACTATTGTAGAATTTAAAAATCAATCTTGTGTTTTATGTGATTCAGTCAGTTTTGGTTTAAAAAACAAACCTAATTTGACTGCAGCCAAGAAGGACGTTTGATATTTCTTACCGTTCATTCATTTCAGAAAATCAGCCAGCTGGAAAAACTGCTTTTTATGGTATTCTATAAAGGAAGAAATTAGTTATAGAATTATCATGTCAGAATTTCTTGTAGGATAAATGAAAATGAAATAAAAGTTCATAAGTGATTTGATTACAAAGTCTGAGATTTACAAACTACCTGGCAACTGCTGCAGTATAGGAAGTGATAAGACCAGCAGTGCTTGTTGTGTTATTTTTATTGAAAACAAATTCTCCTTGAGTAAATGATGTTTCCAGTCCGTCTTGGGTTGGGGGAGGCTACCAGGCAAGTTTTTCACTATTATTCATTATTATTTTCATGCTATCCTCCATAAAGAAAAAAAATCCCAATTCTGTAGGAGTCTTTCCAAACTGAGATGCCAGAGTTGAATTTCCTCAGTTCCAGATGCTTTGTCAGAATTGTAGTTCCCTGAGAGCTGGAGCTCATGCATACCTGTGGAAGCAGATGAAAGAATAGGAATAAAAATAAGATACTGAATTACTTCTGCTGGTACATGCCTGAAAAAAAAATCATCAAAGGTTATTATAATTATGACCGTTATTAGATACCGTGTCTGGTTTCTGCATATTTAAATTCTTTCTGAGAGAGGTGAAACTTAGGCACTTAGAGATCCCAGGGGAATAATTGCAGAAATGATGACATATTCCACTTCTTGAACAAATTTCAATAGCAAAGCTGCATTTGCGTACTTATGTTTCTTCTTAATTATACTTGGATGCAGGATAGATAGTCATTTTCTGTCTTACAAATGCATGTAGCCAATTAGTCTTATAGATCATGAATACCCAGTGGCCTAACTCATTAAATGGAATTTTCCTTTCCTGTTGTTATGGCAAAAGAGTCTGCAAATAGCTGAATATCATCTTTCTCTGTCAGCTCAGCCTTGGCCAAGGCTACAAATCCAGGAACTTGAGCAAGTGAACAATTCCCGGGTTTACCTGTACTCTTTACGGTATGCCAGTCTTGTATGTTAGTGTATGTATGTACGTCTTGTAAAATGCTATAGGCAGTTCGGCTCCTCTGCACCTGTGGTACTCAATTTTAATGCCACACTTTTGATGCTATGTGGTGAATTTGTCTTACTGATTTCATCCCATTCCCAAGAAATTATGAGCCAAAAAGCTCTGTCTGGCCCACTGAGACATGGAGACCTGAGCTCTTTCTGCTGATGGAAGCAAAGATAAGAAAAACTGGCAATGTGTCTCTGAAGAAACCACTACTTATATCAAGTGATCAAACACAGGTGTTCTTTTCTTCTTCGCTCTGATTATTTTTTTTTTTTTTTCATATTGTGCTTGCCATTCTGTCATCTGAGAGTATGAAGATAACACACGTAGCTTAGACTATCTCACAGGCAGGATTCATAGAGACAACGAAGACAGAACGTTATGACCAGAGAGAGAACCAGGGAACCAAAAGACAGTTGTGAAATGAGTTACAGACCCAGTATTGCTTTGAGCCATTTTGCTGTTATGGTATTGGTAAATAATGAATACACTGTGAGGACATGACTTGGTGATTGCCCTTGGTGCTTTTCAGCGGTAGCATGTTTCTCCAAGGGTGAGTGTTGCTTATCTAACATTTCATCCTCCTCTTTTTCATAATATTGCGTGACATCTGAGACTTCGGTACTGTAGTGCTACAGCAGATACTGGGTTGTGGTTTTAAAAGCTATGGTCTCAAATATTATAGAAACAACAAAATGTCTCCATTCAGGGGAAATGTACTCTCTAATCTTGTTACTGGCATGGTTATCTCCACTGCCTTCTTGACATGTATTTGCAAAACTCCCCTGGGGATTGGAATTGAATAACTCTTTTCTTGAAAGACAAAAACACCTTACTGTTTAGGGGAACGGTAAACGGTTACACTGGATTTGGATTACTAAAATTTGAGTATGTAGTATCTGTCGTTATTTGTAATTGCAGACTTCCCAGAGAAACATGTACAGAGATTTTACATGTGCTGTAAACAACTTTTACGCACCTCTTAAAAGTATGCAAAAATATGCATCTTTTGTACTATTAGGATTCTGTTACCGGGTCTGTAACTTGGGACTTGTGCCCCTTCTGCTGTGTACCCCACACTTGTGGTCCTGGGTAATTAACTCTAACTGCCTTTGGGGAGACGAGCTGAGTGCTCGCTGTCTCCCCTGCCTGTTCTCCAGGGTTTACTTTGGGAATACTCCAGGTACATGCACAGCAAAGGGAAGGCAAGAGTTACTCCATGAAGTCTTTCTGTTTGGCGAGTGGAGAATTATATCTGTATGATCTGTGTGTGTGTGTACATATATGCATATATACAGTATACATATACTGTAAGGTAGATGTGATATTGCTGCGTGTATTTCTTCATGTTCTTTTTTCTGCCACTGACTATACCTAATCTTCTCTTTTACTGCTTATACCTTTAAGAATCAAAAAATTATTATCTGATCTGCATCTTCTTGCTAATTCACATGGACCTTATCATGGAGGCCTTAAAACTTCTACGTAACAGTTGCCACTAGGATGTGGTGGAAGACTTTCAGTGAGGGGAGAAGGTCTTGAATGCAGCTTTCCTCACGGATGTTAAAAGTTTAGAGTAAAATGTGAAACCTTTTGTGATTCTCAAAATAGTGGCTACATAAAAGCAGTGAGTAAATTAAACTTGCTAGACAGTTGTAATTTGCAGAATGCATTTATCAAATAGTTTGGAAAGAATCCAGGGCACATTTAGATGAAAAAAAATAGAGATGGGCTCAGTCTAAAAATGTGAGCTAAACGTTCTCAAAGGTTTGCAGAAATTAGGCTTTAAACTTCATTGCACAACTCAGTTATGGACAAAATCAAAAGGCTTGTGGGGGAATTTGAACCTTGGGGAAAGTCAGATTTTAATTCATACCTACTTGGCAACTAAATGCAACTGATTTATCTTGGGGTCTTCCATTTAACTAATTGTAAAACTGGTGCTTCCTTTAAACTGTGGTAGTGCATTTGGAAGTTGGGAGGTATAATTGATACACCAAGCTTTTTAGCCCAGTGATTATTTGGCCTTCAATACTGCTATGTCTGTGAGTTGTTAAAAACTCTTCTTCATCAAGTCTTTGTAATATGCAGTATTGACTCCACTGTCATGGAAATCAATGTGATCTCATGAGTACAGCTTAGTCAAATCACCAAGAAGGGATAAAGAGATGCCCTATCCTTGTGAGTAACAAGTGTGGCTTTAAAAAAAAAAAAGGCGGCAAATAGATGAGCTTGGTGGCATCTAGAAGTTGTGCAGTGTGCTCCAGTTCCCTGCTTCTCTCAGATGCTGCTAATTGATTTATTTGTCATAGGGCTGTTGGCGAGAGAGGTGATTGTGATTTTTGTGATTGACTGCAGAATTTTATGCTGAAGGGGAGTTTTTTCATTAGTTGGATGAAGCCGTAACAGACTGTGCACATCTGACATTGTTATTTGTTATTGTGTTAATAAATAAAAACCAGTTTATATTTCTGAACTGGATTTTCATGTTAAGCCATGACAGTACCACAGTTCTAGCCCTCAATTCTGACTTTTAATCCTGTAAGTTTTAGACAGTTTGAACTAGGGGTGTCTCTGCTCGGCTTTCTTGCTGCCACAGAATTTCCTCAGAGAATTTGATTATTTCTGCTAAGAGTGTTTGTTTGTAGTTGCAGCTCTTTTCTGAGTGTAATTCATATTTTTGTTTTCTGAGTTATCTCTCTTGTCTTTTATTTTCCAGGTTGGTGAGAGGCAGAGGGTTCTGGTAACAGAAGAATCCTTTGATTCCAATTACTATGTTGCTCACAATCCTTTCTATGAGCAGGTATGGTTAAATAAACAAAATAACATCTTTTTGTTTTATCTTTGCTTTCTGATAATGTCAGCAACACAGTATGCCACAGTGCAAAAAACAAATAAAGAAATAAGAACATTTTCCAGGAAAGGTGTGACCATCAAGACTGTTTATGAGATATTTTGTTTCTGTGTTTTAAATACGATTTACCTGAAATAATGTTAAGAGTGACTCTTGGAATATACAGCCTGAGGAAGATACGTGCTGTCTATCCAAATAACATTATTTGAATGGTTTAAGAAGCTGTTAATTATTGCTGTAATTTTAATTTCTGTGTCTCCAAAGCATTGTTTTCTGAATAGATGAATCTTGATAGTTTCCATACATCTTTCAGAAAATCTTTTCAGGCAGTGCAATTTGAAAAAAAAAATAGGAAGGGTCAGAAACTTCTTTAGATTAAGACTTCAGCCTGATATGTTGTAGTTCCTTCTGTGTACTTTCTATAAATGAACTCTTTCCACACAGAAACATTATCTTTGAGCTAGGAAGGAAGTACAGCATCTATTTCACAAAATCATTATTTTTGCTCAAAAGCAGATGACTTGCTGAAAACCAATAATTTCTTTTTTTCCGAATCATCATGATTTCATTCTGGTTTTGCCTTTGGCTTGTTCTCCATTTTGATGCACTGAGCTGTCTACAGTTTGCTTTTGCTACCTTTAGTTATTCAGTTGTCTGAATCTGGAGAGGCTATTGATGATGGCGGTGCTTATATCGTCACCCATAGTGCTTTCTTCTGGTTCCAGGTTACGTTACAGCATTTATTTATTTATTTATTTATTGCTTAGTAGCAAGTAACATTGCTGCTCTTGACATATCTGTTCCTATTAGATATCTGGTTCACTAATTATTTTTTCCTCAGGTTTGGGGTGGGGGGTGATAAATCTTTTTTGGTTTTGTTGTTGTTACATCTCTAAATTCTGTCTAAGTCTTCTATATCGCTGTTCCTTGCTTTTGTAGCATATCAGTTAGATTTGAGGAACATGATTTTCCATATAGATATTAAAAGTAAATTGCTTGGGGCTTTTTAGTGTTCAATGCTTGTTTTATGAAAGTTTCTTTAATTAAAGAAAAAGTGACATGTGCAAAAAAAAAAGTGTTAATGTTTTATGGGGTCATTGTACAGTATGTAATACAGGTCCTGACTGGGACAGTTACAGAACACACGAAATACAAATAATAACATAGGGAGTAATTTTAAATATTATTATGGAAGAAATACTTTCCATTATTAAAATGTATGTCTTTTCCTTAAAATCTCATGTGTGGCCTGTTTGACAAAGGTAATATCCTACTCTTCACCCAGGTAAGCACAAGACTTGGTGCTGCTAGTGACTAACTTTAATAGCAGTAAATTTAGTGGTAGTAAATTGAAAACCACTCTTGAGTCACTAAATGTTCTATTATACTTAGGAAGCTGAAGCTCAGAGTGCTGGTGTAATGTTCTGTTAACTTAATAGTTGCCAAACCTATTCTCTCTTCACTAAGCTCATCTATATTGGAAGAGTTTGCTGTAAAGCCACATGGATAGAGCTACACTGACAGACTTCCTGGTAGAACCACAGTTGACATTTGTAGAAGCTGTGGTGATGCAGTTTAAGGTAGTTCATTGAACAGAGTAGCCTAAACTGACCAAAGGGTACTTTGCCAGAACAACAGTCAAGATGAGGGTTTCTGTTCGTCTAGCCTTGTTTCTTAGAAACACGGTAGGGACTTTTTTCCTAACAAATACTTTATATCAGAAGAATGTCTAAGTGTATGCCAAGCCTGGCTGCTTGGTTGTTTACAGTACCTCCCAGATTTTTTCATTTAACCTCTCTCTTTTTCTGAAGTCGTAGTCATTTACCCACGTCTGTCCCTGAGGATTTATATTTAGTTACTCCTATTTTGCATATGGAGATACCAAGATTTACAGAGGTCACAGGCCCAGTCATACTTAGTTAACTAATTTTCTTTTGATTTAAATTCGCTACAGATGAATTATGTGGGAAGAACTGTAATCTACGCACATTGTAATACTGTCTTGGCATTAGGATCTTGGGTTTGTGTTTGCCACTTAGTTCCAATTAGTCTCAGCTTGCCCGTTTCTGAAAGGCAGAGGTGCCTGCTTTTCTTGGAAGATGCTTAGAAAGCTCAGCAGTATCCTAGGATCTGGAAACTTCTACAGTCGTGAACACCTTGAGCCTTCGGGGAAAAAGGGAAAGTACTGGTGATGATTTCCTCCAAGTAGGACAATCAATGCTTCCAATAGGTGAAAATGGAGAGGCACTGTTTGGCAACAAAATGCTCTCCAAATGTGGTTGGCACAGAGTTTTCCTCTGAAAATCCTCTGCCCATGTTGTCTAAAAATCAGGCCATTTTAAGGTGTTTCAATTTCACCATCCAAAAATCAAGATATACATATATGCTCGTTACCTTTGAAAAGCTTGCATTTGTGTGTGAATGAACTGCAGGTAAATGTGATTAAATAAGTCCCTGTGATTCAGGTTTTCATTGTTTAATGGGGAAATGATTCTGCTTTTCTTTTTTAACTGCTTCTCTTTTGATACCTTTTTTATGCCATTTGTTTTTCTAGCAAAAAATGTTGCTCCTGTATGTTGGGCTCTTTCTTTTGTAACGTGCATGACCTAGGAACGTGGTGTCTTTCTTGTGAAGTTCTTAGTGTTGGGCTCTTTCTTTTGTAACTTGCATGACCTAGGAACATCTGTTACGTGGTGTCTTTCTTGTGAAGTTCTTATGGGACTGTCTGATATCATGGTTGTGCAAATTCAGGAAAGGGTAGCATTAGTTACTGACCCAAGAAACGCGCTCATCTGTTTTTATCGGCATTTGTTGTCAGTTGTGCATCTCAGCTGCAAAGGACCTGCGCAGTCAAAATAAGGGCTTGTGCAAACAGAAACAGGGGCATCATTTCTGTCCTGAAGCATTTACAGACTCAAAACATTTATTTTTATTTTTTTTTAAAGTATCATGGAATAGATATGAAAATAGGAAGCTTTGCAGCAGTCTATTAGAATTGTGTAGTACAAGTGGCCTTGGGAACTGTTTGGGTCTGAATTCAAATGTTGCAACTCAGGCCCAACTTTCTCATCAATTAAAAACCACGACTCATTGAATCAGTTGGACTTGAAAAGAGTTGAGCTAGCACTGCAAAGCTCTTGAAGAATGCAAGCTGGAGATATTGTGGGTCAGTTGTGTCAGGGCTATAGTGTATGCTGGTGAGTAAAATTTTAAAGTTTTAGGATTTGCTCTGGTGTTTCCAAAAATCTGTTTCATAAGTGGAAGCTGGAGATACTGTTGTTCTTTGTGGTATTAAATAACTGTATCTTCATCTTTATTTGAAAGGTTCTTGTGCCAAAGGATCCTCTGTTAATGGGTAAGATGGTAGAAGTCAATATTTATGAAGCTGGGAAACATTTTATGAAGGGGCAACCTGTGTCAGATGCCAGAGTTTACACTGCGTCCATCAACAGACCATTAGCAAAAGGAGAAGTTTCTGGTTTAACAGAGGTGAGTAAAAGACATTTTCTGCTTTACTACACTGGTGAAACAGCAGCTGTTCAAGCATAATGATTCCATGTTATGTATCTGTTATCATTTTATAGTTCCCCTTTTATGTACGCATGAAGCTTTAATCTTTCCTGACAGATTGAAATCTGAATTTAAAAGATGTTTTTGCTGATGCCCATAGCTTTACTTTGCTGATGGTAGAGGCAATAATATGCTTGTTTCTTGTTCCAGGGTGCAAGATGAGTTAAAAACTTATTAGAATTGAAAAGATTTAACTCCAGTGATTATATAATTCAATGTATTTCAGTTCTAGTTTAGTGGAAGGATGAATCTGTTTATCTTGCTTTACAAAGCTGTTTTAAAAAATGTGTATTGATTACATGTCTGTTAAAACAGGTCAAAATTGGGTTCAGAGATTCAAAATGAATTGATGGGTAGGGGTACGGAATATTTACAATATATTTTGGAAAAAGGTCAACATCTGATTTAGTCATGTAAAGAAAACGAAACTCTTTTAAAAAGAGATCTGATCCTTATTTTACACCTCAGTAGATATGGCTGTTAGCCAAGTATTCTCATACATTTCATGGAGCTCTAGTTGTAAAAACTGATGGAGTGTGAAATGAAAATGTGTATCACATTTCTAAGCATCATTTGATGTCCTTTCTCTAGCGCTGTTGTTAGGATCTCCAAAAATATGTAGCAATAATTTAGCACATGGAAGAAGGATAATTGGCAGTTTATCCAGCCACCTTGCTGCTTTCACAGTAAATTGTTGACAAGTATTAAAGTATATATGCATCCTTGTTAAAGTTCTAAGTACTCATATTTAAAAGAAATAATCAATGCATACCTTATGTGACTAGTGTTGTTAAGCTTCTGTGGTCTTTTGAATAAAGCTGGCTTTGGAAACATAGAGCAACAATAACGCACCTACTATAATGTGTTTGGCAGATCATGAAACTTAAGGACAAACACACTGCTAAACTCTGCTTTGAATATCGTCTGTGTGTGTGTGTATATTGGCCTGATAAGGGTCTGTGAGAGGAAAAAACAGCCAAAACAATCAAATAGTCTGATTGGACTATGTAGCTATTTAACGCATCTGATTTTTCCATCAGAACATTTTTTTTTAATAATCTTCTGGAACAGAACCAAGCCTGTCATTAAACTGTGTACGTGCTGCCAGAAGCTTGTAGCATGGGAACAAGCAAGCAGATTGTTGACTGAAATTTTGTATGTTAAAAATGAGAGATAAAATTGTTAAAATCAAGGATACTGATAATTTCCATAAGAACTCATTGAGATATATACATCTGCTCCTGCCCTTTGAGTAGATATGAACAAGTACCTGCCCAAGTAAATGGCTACAGCAAGCAAATGATAAGGCAAATTGCTTTTCATTACTTTTGTGGCTGCCAGTGCTCCTTCAAGGGAGTATCTTATTTATGTTTGGTCCACTGGACATGTCAGGAAGTGTCGCTTTCTGGAAAAAAATAGAATCTTAATACTTCAGTAAATGGGACATCTTTTCTATAGGGAAGCTACAGCTGAAAGCTTTTTAATCATGCTTGGCCAACGTACAATATAGACCAGGAACTGAAATTGTTAGTGGAAAGTTCCTCCTGACAAATCATGTAAGTGGCAAATCAGGAACTTTCTTTAGGTTCCCAGGAAAAAAAGTCAGTTTGCCACCAAAGTCACCATTGGTTTTTGGCTGGGTGAAAGATTCTCTTTACGTTGTTTTGTACAGTTGGACTGCTGGGAAACTTTTCCTGCTAGATGTGCCCAAGACATGTAATTCTAACCTAAGATGCTCATGACCTAGATAAAAGGGGCAGCGTATGTCATATGACCTTTTATATAGCTTTTTTTGTGCACAGATGGCAGGTTGAGGAAAGAAGAATGAGACAACTCAGAACGTGTGTATTATGATACTCGCTCAAAAGTAGGCAAAGAGTTTGGATCTTCAACAAGATCCCAAGGGTCTCCGCCTGATTTTCAAAAGGGCAGCGTGCAGAACTGGAACGTTGGATAACTTTTATTTTAAGTCAAGCTGTAAATCAAACTATATAATGGAGAGAAGGAACAGTTACCTCAAATAGGTTATAAAAGCAAAAAAATGAAAACACGATTGCCCTTCCACTTTCACCTTCCCACTTTGCACACAAATGAGCAAGAATTGGGGCCTACTTTCCACTCCCAGGCTTGAAGGGATGGGTAGCCAGCTGCCAGGTGGCTCTTTTAAGACCAGGCATGTTTCTGTTGCTCAACACAGCTGTCCTCTTGGCACAAGCTCGTTTAGGCACTGATCACCATCCTGTAGCCGGTGTGCTGTCTAAAGTGCCCAGGAAGTTTCTAGTGGACTTCTAGTCTCAGCCTGTCAGTGGTATGACTTTTCTCAACTCCCCTATGTTTCCTGGTCCGTGATGAGAGTTAGTTCAGAGAAGCACGTGAATTTAAATGTAGATCGAGGTAATGCAGGCCAAAAGAATGTGATAATAGGCTGTGCTGCATTAAAACATTGGTATGCTTCAGTCTATTCCCATAGGACAAAGGACTTGGCTCTTTCCTATTGACCGTGTAAATTACTGGGGCTGCAGCGTGTTGCCCAAGTACTATGACGAAGAGGAATAGATTGCTGAGTCAGGGCTGTAACGTGGTTACAGACAGTCTGCAGCAGTTAAAAAGATGCTATTTTTGTAGTGAATCCTAGGCATCACTTGCTGTTACTAACAATGTTTTCATTAGCTTGCATAGGACACAATAAAAGATATTTCAAAATACACCACAGCTGTACTTCTCTCTAATGAGGAATGTTCACAGAAGGAGTGAAAGCTTTGAAAACTGTATAGTTTTTAAGGAAATTAATTATATGTCTAAAAAAATCAAGTTATAAAAATTGAGAGGACCATAATGTGAGGATGTCAAAGCAAGCCACGCACCCATCCTAAGCAAGAAGAAACTTCTATAAATGCTGTGATGAGTAATACCTCCAAAAGATCAGAGCTCATCTGCAATTGCATGATCCCTTTCTCGTCTGCTACATGTCCCTCCATCATTTTTTCTGACGGGTTCAGAGGGAGCATCACAAACAACATGGCATGTTTGAAGGAACAATTGTAGGTCTTTTTTTTTTACCCTTTTGACCACATGACTGGGGTGACAAATTGGTCCAAAGAAATACAAAAGGTAGGTCACCAACTGAAATTAACAGATTTGACTGGAAGAGAGGGAAAGCAAAATGTCACACAAAGGACAATTTACAGGATCCATAAAATATTCATGCATTGTATATCTGTGCCAAATAAGAAGCAGGCAAATATTGATAGGAATAATCCAGGATATTTCTAGCATATCTTTTTATCATGCTTTTTCAATTTCTAAAAGCCACACTTAATATGTATATCCATTAATATATTAATGATGTAGAATTTCTTGGCAGTTATTATATTCTCCAAGGAAAAAACTGTGACTAAGTAGATGGGCTTAGAATAAGGTCTTGACATTCAGTAACATTAGGCTCTGTGACAGAAGTTGGGACACGAAGGGCAGAGGAATGTCGGACTCAGCAGCTCAGGTTAAAAAGCTGTCAAAACCAATCAGACTTACTGATTGTAGTGGATGTACTAAGTATTACAATGCACAGGTGGTTGCCAGGATTTTCCTTTTTTAACTTCAGCATGAATTTTTTATAAAAGCCACTCAAAAGTGAATGATGTCTCCAAGTTGCACAAGTTGACAGGGCTGTTTAGCGGGGCAAATACATTTGGAAATTTCAATTAACTCCAAAGTTTAAATCCACTATAGATTTATTTGGGTTTAAAATGTGCAGTTGCTGATTCAGTAATAGGACAACGTTTAGAAGATATATAGCAGATGATATATAGGTGAAAGTTGAAATCAATAAAACATGAACACATATGGAAAGGCTTTTTTGTATTTGGTTCTACTGTATTTGGTTCTATCTAACAGGTCTATATGTGGACTGGGCGTTAAGAAGTATTGACGGTAACATTAAAAATGATCATTCAGACAAAACAAGCATATCATGAGTTACTAACTGCAATTACAAGTCTCAGTGAATAAATATTTCAAACCTTTGATCAAGAATTAGTTCTACTAAGTTTCACAGGAAAAAAACAAGATGTAAACGCTGCAGATGTGATATCCTTTCATGGAGGCAGGCTTGGAGTTGACAAAGTATTAAAAATGTACTTCAGCATTTTGAGATTCAGTAAAGCAATTTAGCATGTCTGCTATGTTCTTAAGTGCTCTGGTAAACTAGTCTGAGATTTTTGAGGTGGGTTTGCAATGCACATAGTAATGTGCCTTGTCACTGGATACTAAATATTTTTGAAAAGTCAGCAGTGTGGGTTAATGGTCTGAATGTAATTTAATTTTAAAATAACATTTTTATGTTTTTATTTTTAGTAATTTTATTTGGCCATGTTTAGGGATCTTGACAGTTTCTCAACAGCATAAAGTAAAATACCTAGTAAATATATCCTGTTTAGAGACAAATGCTTGCCCAAACCTAATCATTGAAAAAACCCCAAGAATCTGCATGAATATGATCTCTTGTTAGAAATGGAAACATAGTATGTTATGCTTCTGTATTCCAAAAATAATTGTAGTTGTTTACATATGTTCTGTGACTAGAGGAAAAAAAATATTGTAAGATGAGAAATATATGAAGAAGAGACCAAAGGACTGAGGGATAAAAATAAAAGTCTGGCTACCTGCCAGAATTGTAATTCATTGCCAAAATCAAAGCTCTATAAGTCTGAGGGCCTTTGGTGGGAAATTTTAATCAGATGGAAAATTAAGACAAGAAAAAAATAATTTTAACAGGCTATTTAATTATATAGTCATGATTATTTTATGTTCATAATTCCTGTTTCTATAATGCATCTATGACTGACCTTCTTTTCAAACATATACGGGCACATCTTCCTCTCAGTTAACTGTTTTCCATTGGTTTATGTGATAACATTCTC